AAAAAAAAAAAAACTGAGGAAGAGAGTTTAATGAAATCAGGTAGAAAAAATGTTTTGAAAACAAGACACTTGTATCCTTTTTTACTGTTATTAGTAAAAAGAGAGAAAGAAAAGGGATTTTTAAAATATGCATTCCAAATAAAATCAGGCCACTTCTGATTCCCTTCTGAAATCATACCGGGAGCAGATCTCTCCTTCCTTAGTGACTTGGAGTATAAGACCCACAGTAAGGCAGAAAGGTTCTTAATTGTATTTCCAAATTACATTCCAGGTTTGCAGCCTCTGGCGATGTCCAGCGTCACATCATCATTCACTCAGGAGAAAAGCCACACTTGTGTGACATCTGTGGTCGAGGTACAGTGCAGTGTTTTCCTTTTTTTTTCTTGGAGATTTCTGGTTAAAGTGTTGTGTGTCCTTCATCCTGACACCTATCCTGGTCTCTCTAGGGTTTAGTAACTTCAGTAATTTGAAGGAGCATAAAAAGACACACACGGCAGATAAAGTCTTCACCTGTGATGAATGTGGGAAGTCTTTTAACATGCAAAGGAAGTTGGTAAAACACAGAATCCGACACACGGGTGAGCGGCCTTACAGCTGTTCTGCCTGTGGTAAGTTTCTAGCTGTTGCCTAGTCACCCGTGGTGTGGGGAGGGCTTTGCCCCCAGTCCATCATTGGCTGATTTAGTGTCTAGGGTAAGTCATGTGTTTCTCCTAGATAAAATGAGAGTAATGTGATGGTCCCTCAGCTAATGCTTTGTTTGCATACCAGACATTTACTGCCTGACTTCAAGGTCTCAGAAACTGTCCTAGATACTCCAGATACCAGATGACTGTGACACAGTCCCAGGTGCCAAGTGCTCAGTTGCCAAAGGAGGGGAGAGCAGGATTTGCAGTAGTGGGTGTGGTGTGGGGGCTGCCGGCCAGCCTGTCCCACCAGAGCTTTAGGAGCACATGCCAAGGTCAACAGAGTGGTCTCTTGAGATCACATATCTGCAGAGCAGAGGTCGTTTCCGTGGACACAGGCCATTGTGAGCATCAGGGAAGGAGCAGAAAGCTGGCAGCCCTTGGTTTCAGGGCACAGGCGGAGGAGGAAATGGAGACTCAGGATTGGGTAACCTGTAAGCTGGGATCACAGTACTGGAGCCAGGATCTGTATAGGCACCCACGGAGGGCAGTGGGTGTGCCCATGACAGGTACTCAGTAATGCATATTGAATTAGGGGCAAAGACATGAGCAGAGGTGCTTTTTATGATGATTTGTTGAGAACAAGTGGGAAAATACTGAGGGTCCCTCTGTGGAAAGCCTGGAGCAACGGCGTGATTCAGAGGGGCTCATTCTAACTGTCATCAAACCAGGCAGGACTTCTGGATGTGACCAGAAGGCAACTTTGTTTTTGTTTCTCCATTTAACAGTATTCAAATCTCCAAAAGACAGATTTCGGCAACTCTATTATAATTGCTCTGATTGCTCTTAGAAAGTAAAATTCCATCTCTTTAAATCACAAATGTAGTCTCCAAGCTCTAAGTTAGTGTCCATGACTGTGAACTTGATATAAAGTCAGGTTTCCTCCTCTCTCCTCCCCTGCTAGGACTCACTGTTGCCAATACCCCTGTGGTGAAGAATCTAGGCAGGACCCTCTGTTCCCCCACCTCACTAGCCATGGTCTCTGATCCTGATGGGGTCAGCCTGGAGGGGGGAGAGGGGAGAGAAAGAGAGCAGGGGTGTTTTACATGACAGGTTCAATTTTTTTTAACTGCTTTGAGATAGTATTTCCATACTGTACAATTTAACCAATTTAAAGTGAACAGTTCAGTGATTTTTTGGCTTATTCACAAAGCTGGGTAACTCTTACCCCAATCTAATTTTAGAACATTTTCGTTACCCCACAAAAGAAATCCCATACCCATTAGCAGTCACTGTCTACCCCCACCCGCCCCTGGCAACTGCTAACCTACTTTCTGTCTCTGGATTTGCCTGTTCTGGACATTCATGTGAGTGAAGTCACATGAGTTTAGTATGAGGGCTTGGCAGCTGCTATGAACACTCACATACAAAGCTTACATAGATTGTGTTTTTATTTTCTTGAATATATAGACAGATTCAATTTAACTTTTTTTTTTAAACAGAGTCTTGCTTTTATAGTGCATGGGCTGGAGTAGATGGGTGTCATCTGTAGCCTCTAACTCCTGGGTTCAAGTGATCCTCCTGCCTCAGCCTCCCAAGTAGCTGGGATCACAGGCACCTGTCTTTTTTTTTTTTTTTTTTTTGAGACAGAGTCTCA